AACATACAACTCAAGAAGAAAATAAACTGTAAGTGTTTGAAAATAAACTGTACAATTGAATTTTATATCTGTGAAGGATCGTTTCGACATCATGGTCATTATCATTAAAATTTAAGAACTGAGGTTTTGTTAGGCTAATCAAAAGTTTAAAGTTTTGTGGTTTCTTTTTCCAAGAAAAGAAAATTTTAAGTAAAATTGGTTTTTCACGTAATATAAATGTATGTAGCTTTATAATCTTATTATCATAATAATTTGATTTATTTTCTTGTACGCTGATTGATAAGATAACGACAGAATTTAATAATTGTTTTATTCGTTCATATAAAATAAAGAAACGTAAATCTTTGTAATATAATATATTCGTATTCTTATCCTTTTCTTCTCTATCCCGATAAAAGACAACTAGAAAATCTTTTGAATCCATCGAACACAGGTAATATAAGGATTATTTTACTTTTGATAACAAATAAGTTATAATTCTTTTTTATTGGCTCAATAAACTAAGTTTGAACTCAAAATAAACAATCATAACAATATATATATATATATATATATATATATATATATATATATATATATATATATATATATATATATGTATTGGCTATTACACCCTGCTGTCAAATTGATATGTATTGGTCGAAGGACGAGGATAAACAAGTACACATTATTAAAGAAAGCATGAGCTGGCATAGATTTCATTTAATCAAACATGAACGGAAGAGAATAGTGAAGCAACCGCTACATCAGTGTCAAACTTAGTACATGATCGTCAGCTTAAGATGTCAATCTAAATTATTGACGTCTTAATGGCCACATTACAAAAAAAAACGATGCTAGTGCAATAATGTCGGATGTGCAAAAGTAATACTATTTATTTATGTAAAAGGTGTATGTGCTTCTACACCCCAAAAGTTTCGAAAATTTTCACCTTAAAATTTAATTTACATTTAAGATACAATATGTTCCTTTATTAAACATTGTACTGTTTTTCCTTGAAAATGCGAAAGAAAATCTTTTTTTGTTGTAAATTAGTCTTAATTTATGTAATTTTAATCTAATCTAATAATTTAATTGTCAAATTTCTCTTTATTGATTGTATCGGCCGTTAATGGGTTAATACTATTAAAAGAATAAACTTACATCAAATTTACTTTACTTACCTCAAAACTATTTTAAAGTTGATAATAAAGTCTATTTAATAAGTACATTTGTTAGAAATAGAACACACCACGCCTTTGTACATATAGAATGTGGAAAGAATAAATTATTTTTCTTATTTCCATTCTCTCCAAGAACATAAATGGATAGACCAGCTGTAGAACGTAAATGTTGATAACCTTACCTATGTTTTAAACTATCCAATGAACTTATCTAACTATACGATCGTGAATCGCAAAAATTTATATTGTTACGTGGGCAAATTTTATAGAACTATAATTCTTTTTACTTATTAACCTTGGCGAAGTATACACAATAAAAATGACCCCGATGAGAATTTACTTCTGATATATAATATTGTTGTCATTAGCTCTTAGTTATATTTTGTAGAGAGTCACCTTTATTTGAAAATTTAATTTTGAGTCACCTCTAATTGAAAATTGTCTTACTATATAAGACCATAGTAAAAAGTATCGTTTTATAGAGCTGTGAGGTATGGCCACTGAAAGAAATTATATTGGCAACGCTCTGAGCAATGGAAATGGATTTTGGTAAAGTGAAACAGGAAGATCTAACAAATGGACATCAAACAAACTACATAACATCAACAAAACAACTTATCTCTTTCAGACATATACAAAAAATGGATGAACAACTAATATCAAAAGAAATACTAAAACGGCCAGCAGAAGGCGGGAGAACACGAGGTGAACCAAACAATTTGGAAAAAGGAATAGATAAAAATATGGGAGAAATAAATAAAGAAGTGGACCTATAAATCCAACAAACTAAGTAGCGATTGGAAGTCTAAAAACAGCGGAAAACGTTATAAACCAACATGTAGCAGTCGTAGATAAAGCAAAGTATATTACTCATAGTAATGGCTATTATTCTCTTGTAATAATACTCCCTCATCGCTAACGTGACTAGGTTAGTAAATGTTACTTAGAAATACTATTTATTATTATTGACTCGTCGTGTAATCTACTAATAAAATCAGCAATTAGTTAACATTTTTTGGTCTATTGGTCCCTACCTATACTTCATAGTTAGAACAGGTTTTTTTTAGATTTTTAGTAAAATATTATTCATTCCACGTTTTTATATATACCGTTGTATTATTAAACGATCTCCTAAATTTCTTTTTGTTTCTCGCTACACATTCGAATAGCGAAAAAGAAAACTCATCAAAAGTTTTTGTTTGCCCAATATCTGAATATGGAAAACCAATACCTTGCAAGTTTATTCAAACATTTTTGATCTAAATTTCCCAACATTTCCAATATGGATTTCTGTTTATAGAAATATTTTCAAAAGGAAAAGTATCTGCCTTTAACGTTTAAACTAAGAAAACGGCTGTATTATTATGTATAATAATAACTACTATATTACATAATGAATATATATATAAGATAAGATACGGTAACGTAAGATAAGATAAGATAAAATAATACAATTACAGTAATTACAATTACTCGAAGTAAAACCACAAATTGTAAAAAAATCTTTATTATTCAAAATTTTGGATGCTGTTTCGACATCTCTGTCATCCTCAGCTATAAATTTAGGAAAAGGTAGGTAATCTGAAAGGCCAAAATACACAACTTTATCTAACTCTGCAGTAGACGCGCCCGGACTGAAAGTCCGATAACAAAAAACTACTCCCGCTAGTTGTAAAACCGTTTTATATTACTAAAGTTGTAAAAAAACTTAAACTTATACATGTGATTTACAAAAATAATACAAAAATGAATGAAAACACTTATAGGTAAAAACATTTCGTATAACCTACTTTTCTTGAGAACAATTATTACAAATAATATTGGCATGTTCTAAGCACAGATACTTTTTGCAGAAAATACAAAAATATTTTGTTGGTTTATTTTTCTTAGAATCACAAATACTGCAACATCCCCTATTGTTAGCTGTCGGTTGTACCGGAACAGCTTCTTCTTCTGTACCGCAAACTTCTTGTAGTCTCACTTTTAGAATTTTCGGCGAAGATTTGGCAAAGTTGCACTAATCCGTAAGTTAGCATTGGAGCTATTGCTTGGGTACCAAAAGTGCTACAGGCAACAGCGATTAACAAACTAAACCATATTCAGCGGATGGCTTGCATAAATATAACAGGTGCCATGAAAACAACACCAACTGCTGCAATGGAGTTGATCATTGGCATCACGCCTCTAGATATATATGTCAAAGAGGTGGCTCTAGTGACAATGATGCGACTGCGCTCAGCTGGTGCAAACCTTGATGTAGGAATGGACAATTCACTTGCCATAAGGTCCCATTTAAAATGATTTGTCACAGTGGCGCTGTAACGTCATCTGTCACTATTACGTCATTTGTTATGACTAGTTAATAAGCTTACATTTGTTGTTTATAACCTCCCTCCAAATTTCACTATTATAACATTAACCGTTCAAAAGATACGAGGAGGGGAACGGTTTTTTGACTAGCACTGTATTATTATATTATAAAAAATTATAACTTCTTAAAATTTAAATTCATTATTTGACTTTAAATTTGTATGGACAGCACAATGGACAGTGTGCTCCACAATACCAATTCCTTACCACCAATAAAACCTATTCCACTAATTTTAGCACAAACACTTAATGATATCTCTCTTACACATACCCTTCCTCTTTATCCCCCTATATCTCCTCCTTGCATTGCTAAATGCATTTAAAGACATTATAAATACAAATAGTTACGACCCAATATTATACACGGATGCCTCAAAAAATTACACACCATCCGTCAGCAGCGTTCATACTGGTGAATTATTTAGTATATTGCAAGCTTTTAACCATATATATCCACCTAATAAGTAGGTTGCCATATGGACAGACTCTTTAGCATCAATTCATTCTATCAAAAATATATTTACCGATCACCCAATCGTCCAAAAGATCCTAGACTCTTACCAAATTATCTTGGCCCAGAACATAACAGTTACCATAATTTGGCTGCCATCTCATATTGGTATAGAAGGCAATGAAACTGCAGATCACTATGCTAAACTTGCTACAGCATCACCCGAAATCACCGATAAAATTCAAATTTGTAAGGACCTAAAATCATATACCAAAAGAAGAACCAGACTCCTTTGGCAGCAGCATTGGAACTCTAACCGTTTGATCTTACACAAATTACAACCGTCAATAATCAGTCAGCCTACATTTGACTATTCAGCCCTGTCAAGATGAGATCTCATTGTGATAAGACGACTACGGATAGGACATTCAAAACTCACACACGGCTACCTAATGTCCTCTAGCATCCGTCCCTCCTGTCAAAGCTGCCAATCATATTTGACAATCAAACATATCCTCACTGAATGCCATCAATATTCGGCCAGAAGATTACAATACAAACTCAAAAGTGAAGTACGAGATATCCTAAACGACCCTGACCAAATAAAAGCTGTGCTACAATTCCTTAGAGATGAACACTTATATCAAAAAATATAATTAGATCTTAATTTAGACATTGTGTAACATATTATTATCATTCCGTATTATTGTAACATAATCTTAATGTAACACTTATTGTTTGTGTAATGAAAACTCATGTTATAGTACCTGTGTAAGTGGCCATAGTAGCCGAGCACGTTAACGTCGAAATAAAAAAAAATATCTCTATGATAAAATAATATACTGTAGTACGAGTAGTTCACTTTTTAATAAAAAAAATATAAGTTTAAATTTTAAATGTACATTTGGACCCTGTATAAATATTTTAAAATATATTTATATATTTATAAAAACAAATCTCCCAATTTTCGACTTCGTCATACTTTCCAATTTACTTTCATCGCATTTATGTTAAATTTTTATTTTCCAGATCCCATATCAGAAACACCAGACGGTATAACAGAATTACCATCAGGAGGAGACGTCTGGGTTTTAGTTATAGAAAATTCAAAACCAACAGACTCTGGAGTATATGTCTGCGAAGTTAATAGTAGTCCTACGGTTCGAAGTTTTCATAAACTTAGTGGTAAGTGTATGAAGTGCATAAGATATAAATAAAATCAAAACTTTAAGTACAAAAGGAAAACTAAGAGGTAAAAAGTTGATACATTTAATAAAACTATTGATTAAATACACAGTTTGTAAGCTTCAGAAAAGTTACTAAAAATTTATTAATGTGCAAGTTTTTAGTTCCTCAAATTAGATAATTATGTTTTTCTTTTTCTTCATACAGCGTGACCCATTTAGATTGGAAACACCTCTATAAAATTTTAAGTTGTTAACCGATTTTAACCAAATTTTTTTTTAATGTCATGTAATAAAAGGTCTATTGCGGGACAAAATATAAAATAATTAGTTAAATTTTCAGGGCATTCTACGATACTTTTTCCTCGTCGAAAATAGAGAATTTGTATTAGAGATTGTTTTATTAAAAAATTCTACGCCACTGGATTTAGATTTACTTCAAATAGCTATGACAAAAATTTCAATAAAATATATGTATTACTAACGAAGTTATGACAACTTAAAATTTTAAAACTCACTAAGCAAAAACACTCTGTATTAACGTTAAAAAAACACTCTGTATTAACAGAAACACGGAAACATAATTTTAGTTTAAATCCAAGTTGCCTCTACCAGGCACATTCAAATATAAACTGGCATTCCTTAAACTGGCATTAGGGTTATTTCTGAAATGATCTAAAATGATTTGATCATTTCCTCTTCTTCTTTGTAATGGGTAATTTTTTAAAATTAGTTTTGATACTGCACCATATTTATTAAATATTCTATTTATTTTGTTTACCGTACCGCAGCTAATATTAGGACGATCCACATGTCTGTCACTTCTATCGTTATCTCCCAAAAGACGTATAATTTCAATTTTTTCTCTCAAATTTAATCTTGCAGCCATGACACAAAATATTATTAAAAGAATTTGAAGTAAATATTGTTGCAGATATTATTCATAAATTTATGATAGCATTGAAATTTGTATGACACAAATAATGTCAAACAGTAATATCATTGTCATGGCAACTGAGATTTAAGTTGTAGCATGTAAAGTTGATAATAATGTAAGTGCGTTACTTGCATTAATTTTTTATGCTATTTTAAACATTTTTTGTCTAATAGTGGTTAATTAATAAAATTATTTAAAAAATAATTAGTTTTATGGTAATCTGTTGATACAGGGTGTTCTTTTTTGACTTGTAGCTTAGTGAGTCTTAAAATTTTAAGTTGTCATAACTTCGTTATTAATAAATATATTTTAATGAAATTTTTGTCATAGCTATTTGAATCCAATCTTATTCCAGTGACGTAGATATATTTTTTAAAATAATCGCTATTACAAATTCTTTATTTTCGACGAAGAAAAAGTATCGTAGAATGCCCTGAAAATTTAACCAAATATTTCATAGTTTGTCCCGCAATAGATTTTTTATTACATGACATTAAAAAAAATTTGGTTAAAATCGGTTAACAACTTCAAATTTTATAGAGGTGTTTTCAATAAAACTGGGTCACACTGTATGAACACAATAGCATTCGTTTTTACTGTCATGTTTGTCCAGTCTCGAATATTTCGCAGCCATGACTTCCTCTTTCTACCTATTCCCTTTTTGCCATCGGCTCTACCCTACATGATAACCTACAGAAGACTATACAGATTGAACGAATTTAAAACGGATCATACAATTTAATATATTCGCACACCTAGTTCAATAGTGCCACAAGTCCAAAATACAATAATTTCGAGAAATGAGCAAAACGTTCTCTAGCAAACGAGTTATGCCTTGTAAATAATTTATTTTTAGAATGACTGGCTTCAAAATTACAATTTAGTTAGTAAATTATACAGTTATTCGCCGGATCTTATTACAATTTATTGAAAATAAAACGTTAATTGTATTTTGATAGTTATGGCGATATTGCATTGTGAAGAAAGTCATTTATAAAACGATAAATAGGAGATACGGCGGCAACATAATAAAAAAAAATCAACTAGTTCTTACAAAAAATATTTTTATTATTATTACAAGTGTGTATGAACATTTTTTTTTAATTACTATTAACCAAGTCCTTATAAAAATTGTGATGAACAGGTAATATTAAGTTTTTATTGCACAGTTCCAAAAGGTGTTGCTTGATTTTTGCGGATATCGATGGAGGGTTTATGTACGCCTTTTTTAAATCGATTACTGCTTCCACAGTTGCTGAACGCCCCCTTGTCGATGCTTTAAAATGGACCTCTTCGAACTCATCTTCATTATAATCTGTTTTATAGAAGAAAGATCCAGGATTGCTTTTGACAACTTTAATAACTTGGATATCATTCCAGACTACCTTTTCATGTTTTGTATTCTTTCTAAAATTTCCTCCAATTTTTGAATTAAGATCTTTAAAGTCATAAAAGTCTTCTGTTGACATTTCTTTTACATTGTAAGGATTTCCCTCTTTTTTGCAGATCTTATGATGACAGGCCATTGTGCAGGAACATAAACGGGACCTGTTCTAAGTATTTTCTTCTTTTGCCTCTCAATAGTTGCGTGCATGGCGTCCCCTTCATTTTGGGTATGTCTCACTGTTAAAAATGTATGTGTGATTGATTTAACATTAATTTTTCCAATTGCATAGAGATATATGGTAACTATAAATTTATTTTTATTTTGCCCAACACAATTGTCGCTATAAAATATAACGTCTTTATCTGTCTTTATCATTACAATGATTTGAAAGATAATCAAACAGACACGTAGCTATTTCGTTTGAGCCGCGGTTAGCAATAGCCTCGTGCCAAAAGTAATAGTAACCAGTCTTTTGCAATACTTGAAAAATTGTAAAGTTGAAGCAGGTCAGGCGACGTTTATAGTAGAAGCTTGAAACATCTCCACAAGGTGTAGGAAGGATCGCCTGCAAATCAAAACAAGCTACCAATACTTGATAATCATCTTTTGCTCTTGCTAGATCTTGTACTTTTTCTTCTCTGCTTCTAATTTTATTATGGATATGTTTATTATAAGTTTTTACAAGTAAGTATTTATTTGTAAGTATGTTAGTTCCGCTCACCGTCAACGATTAAAGAGCATTGAAGCCAGTCCGTCGCCTTGTTTCATTCCTTGCGTTATCGTAAACGCGTCAAATCAATGATCTATCCTTCAATACATACCTGTGCTTCTGTTTCTGTCATTGTCATTTGCACTAGTCGTATTAATTTTGAGGGTATGCCAAATTCTTTCAATTTATTAGGTAGAATTGTTCTATCTATTGAATTATAGGCTTGTTTAAAATCTACAAAGAGATTGTAAACGTCATATTCCCATGCTTTGGCTAGTATTTGTTTGACTGTAAATACTTGGTTAATGGTAGATCTATTTTGCCTAAACCCTGCTTGATATTCCCCGATGATTTTTTCCGTGAGAGCTTGAAGTCTTCGATTAATGATGTTTGTGAGTATTTTATATACCGAACAAAGTAAAAAGATGCCTCTATAATTTTAACACAACAGTTTGTCCCCTTTTTTATAAATAAAGCAGATTATACTTTTCTTCCAATGTTGGAGGATTTCTTCTTCTATCAATATCTCTTGTATTAGCTGGTATATCTGTTGTGCCAAATTCCTTTCTCCTTGCTTGAGTAGTTCTGTCGGTATTTTATCTATTCCTGGTGCTTTATGACTTTTTTGTATGTGGATTGCCGTTTGGACCTGCTCTAGCATTGGAGGTTTAGTTAATTCATTTTCTTTTCTATCTTCTCCCAGCTCTTATTGTTGTACCTCCTGCCGTGCCTGTTACTGCATCTGTTGTTGTTATGGTTTCTGTGTCCCTTTTTTTACTAATTCCTTAAAAAATGTCATCCAGGTTCTCTTAATTTCGTCCATATCGCTAATGATTTCAGCCCTTGTTATTTTTGCAGAGGCTAGTCTTCGGTTTGTATCCCTATCTTAAATGTTTGATAGACTGGTATGCACTACGTGTTGTGTTTAGTTTTCCTTAAACTCCCTCTATATGTTTAGTATCCGTTGGTTTTCGTACTTTCTCTTTTTCTGCCTGCACAGTTTATCTGCTATTCGTCTTTTGTTCTCAAATTCTGATTGTCTCTCTCTAGTACATCTGAGTATGTAATTTTTATGTGTTTTATTTTTTTCTTGTATAGCTTGTTTGCATTCTTCATCGAACCATGTTTCTTCTCTCCATTGTGTCTTTGTTCCTAGAACTCCTTTCGCTGTGTTTAGTATGATACTGCTTATGGTGTTCCATTGGTTTTCAATTGTGGAGTCTGCGTTGTTTCCTTCTACTAATTTTTCATCCACTGTTCTCTCAAATCCTTCTTGTACCTTAGAGACTTTTAGGTTAGTTTAGTTTTTATTGTTTTGGATATTTTTCCTTTACCTGTCGACTGATTTTATCTTTTTATAAAAATTTTTGCTTAAAATTATCTCCGCTACATTTTTTATTTAAAATATTTTTTGTATGGTGTACTGTTTCTAGGTTAATCGATTTTTTAACGTTTTACCCCGCTACAAGGAATGTTTTAGGGGAAGCCCGGGGGTAAAAGTGGTAAACTTTTTTACATCTTTTTTGAGGTCCCAAATTTAATATTTTGCTAAATTCCGCTTGTTTCTGTAATTTTTAGGGGTTTAGTAGCATTTTCGTCTTTTTCGACTTTCAAAAAAAGAATACATTATGTCACATAAGAAGCCAAAGAGTTGCAAAATAACGTGACTAAAATTTTCAGTAAAAGAGTTTAAGCCACATAACCTTAAACACATATCTGTTGCTTTCTCAGGTTGATGAACTGGATTCATTTTCCTCTCTGCATAGTCATTGTTTTTGACATTATCATCGGAATTATATCCATCAGAATCACTTAAAAATTTTTCACCCCTATACTGAAAAATTTCGTCGCACAGTAGATTTTGCAAAAAGTCACTTTAGCACAGTTGTGTCATCTATTGACTGATCATTGACAGGTTAGGTATCGTTTACCTCTACTATATTTCCAATTAATTTGAAACAAAAATATCGGGTATTATAATTTTGTGGCTTATCTCCTTGTCACGCCAATATCTTGAAATATTTTTTCATCTTACCATTTAAAATTTTGGTGGTGCATTCTTTCCATTTAAAATTTTGGTGGATGCACTCGAACAAATAGTTTAGCGGTTTACTGGAAGAAAGTTGACTGACATTTTTTATAGTGTATAGTATTATCTAATATGTATATATCGTGGCCAAATTGTCGCGTAAAGTCGCAAAGTCGCGAATGTGCATATTCGCTACTTCTCAGGAGAGCTAAAAATACATTTTGGGCTTCGACTAATGTTGGTTGGTAATGTTGGTAATGTTATTTTGTCTTTACACACCTGATCTGGAAACCTTAAAAAAATGCCTAAAAAAGTTAATAATAAAACTAGACTACGTAGCCATAGTTACTGAAAAAGTGACTTTTATTAGAATGTTAGGATATAAAAAATAGCGAATCTGCATTTGTGTTAAAGGAGAATGTACTTGTATCACTTATTTATGAGGTGGGTGAACAATATAAAGAACTTTAAGATTCAACAAAATTTAATGAAACACTAAACTATTTTATAATTTTGCTTTAAAATTTAGAAGATTATTGGTTTAGTTGTTATGATTCGCTCTCAGATTCTTTAGAGACATCTAGCTCTGGAAGGGCATTTCGTACACTATCCTCAAAGGGAAGATTTGTGTAGAAATCATGGTAAACACGTGGTATTTGAAAATCCTTACAAAGCTTTTAAAGGTTTTTTAGTTTTTTGGTAGCAATTGGAAACTTTGATTTTTAAGGTTTTATTGGAGAATTATTAGAAAAGGATCTTCCATGTTTGTTTTTCATCTATCTTGCAATGTACTTCACAAAAGGTGCGTCATCTGAGTAATCTGTCCTCACAAATACAGCATCTGGATGAGTTGACATGTACTTAAACCAAATGGCTTTTTTGAAGGGTAAGTGGTTTAATTTTTTATTGCCATTGTCTCGGTCCTCAAAAGCAATCTTATCAGTACAATAATCAATGAAGTCATCATGGCACAAAGGCATTACTTGAAATGGTGTTGGCTTACTTCTAGCAGCGCAAATTATTTGGTACCACCCCTCCGAAGTAAAAATTGGACATTTTTACTTTGCTGCTATATTTGAGCATAAATGGAGTCACGCTCCATTTGGCTATGACTAGGTTCAAAAAACCTGTGATTAGTTTGTTTGATCGAGGAGTGCTCCTTAACAACATTAACACATATGGTAATGAATTTGGAATTTCTTTGCTGCCTTCCACAGCTATACGACATCATTCTGACAAGTTCTGTATTGGTTTTTCCCATCAAATAAGTATAAATGCCTGTCGATAGCTATATACTGCTCCGGCTTCCTTCTGGTTCGTACCAGATAAAACAGGTACGACTGGAATCTTTAAGATTGTAAATGGTAAGGTTGTATACAGCTAACTTTTTGACGTAGAAAAATGCTCCTTCAGCTCTTATTTGTGTGTTCAGAATGGATTGGAGATCTTACTGTATTGTCAAAATACTTTTTTGGTCTTTTAGAGAGTATTATTGTAGTTTCCATCTCCTTTTTGCTCTTCTTGAGCAGTTTCGTACAACGATCTTTAACAGGTTTGTGAAACTTCATTGTGTACTCACGACAAATTCATCTGTACTTTTCTAGAGATACTAGATTTTTGTTTTCTTTAATGTACTTTTCTTTATACAAGTTGTGCATTATTGGTACATTTAAGTCACTGGCTAAATATGAGTATTCTGATTTCTTCCTTGCTGATTCATTTATAGGGTTTACTTTATTTGGTGGATCTTTTTTACCTTGTAATTCAGATAGGAGAATTCCACTAGAGTTACCCTTTTTAAGAGCTCCTCTTATAAGTGACTGAAATATTTAAAGTATCGAGAAAAATCCTCTACACACAGCAACTCTGCCATTTTCAGTGAAAAAAGTGTATTTTTTGGCATAAGCTCTTCGTGACTCCACGGCTTTTGTCACTTTTCTTGATTTTCGTTGCACAGTAACGTGTTTTATAAGAAACGGCCGTTGTTCTAATAGGGATGGAATTTATGGAAACCATTATAAAATGTTTCTCTCTCCGGCTCAGGTACATTAGTTAAACATCTATGCTTGACGCGTCCAGAGCATCATGGTTGTTTTAGGGGCCTTGCATTAATTAATTTTTCATTTACAGTTAAATATTCGAGACCTTTTAGTTTCTTGGATGCTGCCTTCTGTCTTGTATAAACACCATTTTTAATACTTTTGGCTTTTTTGGTGACAAATGATTCTGATTTTGTGTTAGGTTGTGGTTACCTTTTATAGTAGGCCTATCACTGGGATCACTGCTTCTAGCCGGTATTTCAAGACCAACATTAATATTGGTAGAGAATTGTTGAGAATTCTCATCTGATTTGAGATTTGTGGTAGATAAAAGATTTGTTGGATGATCAGTTGGCCTATCGGTATCAGTATGCTATCGTTGTCCAATTCCAATCAAAATTCCAAAATAACGCTCATGGTAACTAGAAAACAGGAGACTGGTATTTAAATAACAAATATTCATACTTTACTTCTTATATAGGTTATGTTTAAAAAAGTTAAGTACAAAAATTCGTCATTTCCTTAATTTCAGAACTGCAAAACTCCAATTAGGTAAACTGACGAATATGTCACGTTATTTTGACGTTCTTTAGTGGTTGTAATACACTTTGGTAAAAGTGTGAATGTGGCACTTCGCTTGTTTAGCTATCGAATATTCATATTCGACTTTTTAGAGTTGTAAATAGTGAAGTAGGTGTAGATTTGGTTAACTAAAAATAGTCAACAATGACGTAAATATTGGACCTGTACATTCGCTGTTTTACTGGAATATACATCTTGACAAGCTACATTTGTTTAGTGTATTAGCTTAGATATGTCAACTTTGCACATTCGCTACTTTACCAGTTTGTTCTGAAGCTATTTTCTTGTTGCATTTTAAATTAATTACTATTTAACTGGGAATAAACCACAATTAAAGATAAAAATACGTTTATTGACGTTTCAATTTCCACTTCGGAAATCGTTCTCAAAATACAAACAGTAAATTAAACAAATTTTGTTTTTTGTTACATAGTGAAAAATTCTTCTAATAATTTAATTTTATCTGACTCATTTATATTGGCAATTCAGACATACATTATACATTTTAAAGTAGACAACTTTAAAATGATATTGCCAATATTGTTGAGTTGCGCTCCTGGGACGACTTTACTTATAAGATAGTTCATTCGATTACATGAAATCAACTTTAACTTGAGAATATCCGTCAGAAAAAAATCATAGCATGTAATTCGTCTTTAAAAGACAAACACATGACATGATAACAGTAAAATTCTCCTGTTAGTGATTCCATAGTAAATTATGAGGGCAAAACCAGGAAAAAAACCTCATAATACTATCCCGACATGGTAAGTATTTGTTCGTGCATTTAGTTTACCTTCAATAAACATCAAAATTCTGATTTTATATGTTTCGTTATTTAATAAACATAAATTATGTATCCTCTATATGTTACTGACTTACTCATACTAGTATTTTCTTATTAATAACTTCCTCTTTCAATATTGGTAACCATATCCTACTACATTCTGCCGAGAAATTTGCGACACAATTGACCACATTTAGCATAATTAGAGCCGCTACTTTGATTTCTCTTTTTTTTACCATCCGTTTCTTTTTTGGAGGAAGGACTACATTTGAATTATTCCATTGAACTCTATGTTCATTATCCCATGCGTGTTTACATATTTGAGATCTATTAAATTCTCTATTTTTAATATAAGATTGATGTTCACTTATTCTAACATTTATTGGCCTTGATGTTTCACCTAAATAAAACTGATCGCATTCACAAGGTATTTTATAAATGCAATTCTTTGTCCTTTCTTGTTCATTGTTAGGTTTGGTTTTGGACAAAATAGATATCAACGTGTTTGTTGTTTTGAATGTTGTTGAAATGTTGAATTTATTTCCTATCCTTTTAAGTTTTTCTGATAACGGTATTGTTATTTTCCTCGTATTATTTCTTGTGTATGCTATAGGATCTCGTTCTAAGTTTAAAATGCATAATTTATGTCTGAATTGTCAATATAAATGAGTCAGATAAAATTAAATTATTAGAAGAATTTTTCACTATGTAACAAAAAACAAAATTTGTTTAATTTATTGTTTGTATTTTGAGAATGATTTCTGAAGTGGAAATTGAAACGTTTTTATCTTTAATTGTAGCTTAATCCCAGTTAAATAGTAATTAATTTACCAGTTTGATTTAGATATACTAAATGAGACAATTTCTTCTAGTGTTATCAAAGTCCATGCTGCCCCCTAATTACACAACAACTGACCCTTCTACATCAGGAGAAGACCAACGGCAACTGAGCAGCAAAAATCACAATTATACAGATTGTTGTGTAGCAAAAAACGTTTCAACTGTATGTCTTGGATTCTGTAATATACAAAGTATTCTAGAGGGTGAGTATATTATTTTTTATATAATAAATAGATACTAACCATTTTACTTGCCATATTTTTTTACTTTTACAATTTTTAGTAATATTAAATTAAAAAAAATATATATCTAGCATATTTTTGTGTGCTTTTTTTAACACTTTCTGGACAGCTGCCTTTACCTTGGCCTTTTTATTGTTCATTGTCGTACCAGATTATTTCATATATTAAAATTATATTCTGTATTTTTTTCTCGGTGCTTCCTATTATCACCACATCATCGACAAATGCACATTCATGTATATCAATAGTTTTCTTCCAGATTACAGTATCCTATGTATATTGGTTTTTTGAGTTACTTAACTTTCTATTGTATTGTATTCATAAATATTGTAAACAGCACGGGACTTAAATAACCTCCCTGTCTCACTCCTTTGCTAGTGATGATACGTTCAGATTTCATATTCTTACTTATATCACAGTTTGCATTTAATTTAGCAGGTTGGGTACTTTGTTATTAAGTTTACTTGATTTATTTAGATTCGTTGGGCATTCTTAAATTTTAGTTCTTGGTACTCTGTGAAAGGTGTAGCTGGTTCCCCGAGAAAACTGATACGACTCTTAAAGCGTAATTTTTAGAAAATTAAGCAGTATATTTTAAAGAATAAAAAATATTTAGTTATATACTGGATCAACCAACAAAGTTTGGTTGGATTAAAATTCCAACCGGACCAACGACAGAGATAAGATCTAGATAATCTCCAAAAAGGTCAGCCTTACTGTCGAAGAACGGTACGTGCGACACTGAATTTCGCACTAATAAAAGAAGGTGGTTTTAGTTGGTACACTCTCTCTCTCTCTCTCTTCAATCCTGACCCCCCAGGGGAAGTGTAGTGGTCGACGTGATGTCGTGTATTGTCCGTCTCCAGAGATCTCTCTCTCTCTGGTCATTTCTTTTAATTCATGGATAGGTCTTTGGCATATTCCTATAATTTGATCTATCCATCTTGTTGGGGATCTTCCTCGTGATCTTCGGCCTTCTACCTTTCCTTGTATTATGAGTCTTGCCATGTTTTCTGTGTTTGCTCTCATAACATGCCCAAAATATTTTAATTGCTGGAGATGGACTTTACTAGAGAGTCATTGGCTAACTTTTAGCTCTCTTAAAATTGAATTATTTGTTCTACGGTCGGTCCAAGGAATTCGTAACATTCGTCTCCAACAGAACATTTCAGTGGCGTCTATCTTTCTTCTCTCCGATTGTCTCAGAGTCCAAGATTCACATCCGTAGGTTAGTATTGGGAATATTAAGCAGTTCATAAACCTCATCTTTATCGCTCTTGAAATTTGACAGTCCTTCCATATTTTGGTCCTTTTTGCTGTGGCAACTTTTGCTAGATCACTTCTACGTTTAATTTCTTCTTGTAATGACCCTGTGTTTGTGATAAATGATCCCAGATATATGTATGAGCTCACAACCTCGAACCGGTCAATTGTGGTTGTGTGTGGATGATTGTTGTGTAGTCTATCCACTATCATGATCTTTGTCTTTAATATGTTTAATTGCAGACCAAATATTTGACTTTCGTTTTCGATCAGTCGTATAAGTTCTATCAGCTCTGCTTGACTATTTGCAAGAAGGGCTGTGTCATCTGCGAAACGTAGGTTGTTTAGTTTATAACCATTTATTGAGATGCCCTTTTCCCATCCTTCAAGTGCTCTTCGCATAATATACTCCCCATATATGTTGAATAATTGTGGAGATAGTATACATCCTTGTCTGATACCCCGTTCTGGATGAAACTGGTTCGAAAGTGTGTCAAGTACTTTAACTGATCCAGTAGTGTGTTCATATAGTTCGGGTTATAAGCGTAATTAGATGTTGTGGTACGCCTACTTCTTTTAGTATTCGCCATAAGTGTCTTCACTTGACCCTGTCGAACGCTTTACGGTAATCTATAAAACAGATGTATAGTGGGATGTTGAATTCCCTAGATTTCTCGATTATCTGTCTTATATTCAGCAGGTGTTCTCCAGTGCCTCTACCTTTGGTAAATCCAGTTTGCTCTTGTGGAATTTCTCATTGAAGGAATGTTGTCAGTCTCTCATTGATTATATGTAGCATTATATTGCTGGTATGGGATATAAGAGAGATAGTTCTATAATTGTCGCATTTATGGAAGCTGCCTTTTTTATGTATGGTCGTTATTGTAGATTTTGTCCAGTCTTCAGGCCATTGTTTGGAATGCCATATTTGGTTACAGAGTAGATGAAGTTACTTTACGCCGGTTTCTTCTGTGACTTTAAGCATTTCTGCTGTTATCATATCTGGACCTGGTGCCTTGTTACATTTGAGCATGTTGATAGCCTCTAGACAGTAGTTGGTAGACAGGATAACAAATACTTAAATCTTTGGTACTGCTGTCTATAGTACTTTATCCCCCCCTCTGAAAAAAGATACGTGCGCCACTAGACTGTCTTAAAAGATAATATTGACATTATTGTCTTGCGCACGGCATTAGAAAGAAAACAGTCCGCTGTTGTGTAACCAAGGTGTCCAATTTTTTTTTAACTTTCCAAAGAGTGTCTTCTTCTTAACGTACCCCATCCTTAAGGACATTGGCAATCATCATGGCCCATTTGACTCTATCTGCAGCTGTTCTGAAAAATTCTATTGACGTTTTCTCACTCCATTGTATCAGATTCATCAATCAGGACGTGCGTCTTCACCCCAGTCCTCTTTTGTCTTTCACCTTCCTTTGTATGACCAGCCGCATCAATTCGAATTTCTCGTTTTTTAGTATGTGACCAAAGTACCTAGCTCATTTTTCTTCTCTTTATAGTTTTGAATCTTTCTTTATCTTTTTTCATTCTTCGTAGCGTTTCCGCATTTGTTATATGTGTTGTCCAAGATATTTTTCACATTCTTCAATAACATCACAATTCAAAGTTAATGAGTCTTTTCTCTTTATAGCTTCTGTATTTGTTTAGAACTAAACTCCATACAACAAGATAGAGAACACGTAGCATCTCAATACTCTAGTTCTAATTTCAATTTTGGGTTTTCCATTGCATAATATTGCTTTTATCCTATTAAAAGCACTTCCAACTATCTTAATATGCCGTTTTATTCTCTTATTTCTATCCCATTCTTCATTTAGTTTGCAACCTAAGTACTGATATCTGTGCACCCTGCCTAAAAGTTGTCCTTCATCATACACACTGTTTTCCTCAACCTTTTCTTTCATTCAGTGCTATTCCATACCTTCCGCAGTATTGGTTAATGCGATCAACCAAGATCTGTAGTCCTTCTCTGCTGTCCGCAAGGAGTATTGTGTCATCTACGTATCTAAGATTATTCAGAAGTGCTCCGTTAATAAATATGCCTTCATGTATGTCTTCTTATGCCTCTTTTAACAATTCTTCTAAATACATAATAAAAAGTAAAGGTGAAATCACACATTCTTGTCTCTCCATGATTTATAGTTATTTCTCTTGATTTTTGTTCGTCAATTCGTGGTATGGCTTTCTCATATCGGTAGAGATTGACAATGATTCTCACGTTTTCGTCATCTAATTCTGTGTTTTGCAATATTTTTGCCATTCTTTGGTGTTGTAGTTTGTCGAAAGCTTTTTCGAAGTCGACTAAGCATATGAATATATCCTAATTTACATCTCCACTTAAATCTGAAGGGTGTAAGTCGCATTAATTATTATGTCCTTAAAGATTTATATATTCCGACATCATTGCCGAGAATTTGCTAGTTTTCCCTGCTTTTTCAAGATGCTACGTAATATCAGCAGCTTTCACGATCGGCAAACTTAAATTCATTTAAGTTTTACAAAAACACGCTGAGGTAGCTAGCAAGATAAGGCATTTATCAGTAAATAAGCCGAGCCATCTTTGCTCTCTGTGGTTGGCTAATGCTTTTTCGTCTCTTCATATAGTGGAAATAAAAATGATTATCTATCAACATGGAATACAAAGGCGGTAACCAAAAATACATTCTTTAATATTATCTAGATACCAACTTATTATCGCTTTCGCCAGAATAAGAAGCAGCTGGTTCGTACAGTCGTATAGTTTCTCATCATCAAACACTGCGATACTGAAGAAGATGGCTAAAAGCATGGAAAATTTTGAATGTCAATCAAAACTTTTAAAACTCCAGCATACCCCAAACTTCTGAAATTAATTTTCTGCCGATGGAAGGGGAAGTGTGGAAGTATGTGTGGTTACCCAAAAAGCAATCCTTAAATACTCTGATGTGTTTTTCAATTGTTTTTGTTGAAAACTGCAGCAACATCATGTAAATGTCAAAATTAATAAAAAAAATTGAAGAATTTGAAGATGAATTACCCACAATGACGCCTTTCTAACGCAAATTTTTCCGCAAACATTCATCTTGGATACTAAATTAGAGCAGCAGCCTGGACTATCAAAGAAAAAAAAGAAAAAAAAACAGTACCTGAAAAAAACTTGTCTCCAGACTCTACCTCTAAGACTAAATTAATATTAAACATTACCTGTGAACTAATAATAATATAGGAATATTATCAAAATAATAAATTATATAAATAAACAAGTTTATAATGAAAACTATGCCTAATGGTTCGTTTTTGTCGTATTCGTACGATTATTCAAGAAACCGGTTAAATTCGAAGTGCTCTAAAACATAGAAACATTAACATACAAATTTCTAGTGAAAAATATTGGGTTGAAAAACTCTCTATAATATTGCTCTGATGTTTTTTTGTTGTAAAATATCCAGAAAAAAGTTCATTCCCAAATAAAATTGTTCAAAATTTTTAAGTTATTTGTGTTAATTACTTTTTTATTTTCCATTTTACGATTACAAATATTAAAAACAAAGTTTTAGTTGTTCTTTGAGTGCCTTCCCTATCGGAAATTCGATATTAATATGACGATTCTAATTTACCACCAATAATGTCAAATAAAATTTTCTGTAGGGTTACTAGTTTACGAGATATAGCGCGAAGAGCCTTTGCACCACTTTTTCCTATGGGGTGACAACCCCATAAACTTGAACTTAAGCTTATGCTTAACTTACAAAACATATATAAAAAAATAAAATTGCGTCCTATCAAAAATGCAACCCTAATGTAACTTTCCAATGGATTAAAGTACGGTTTCACTTTTACTTTCCATCAAGAGGACAAGATTGTTTATATGAAACTGATTTTGTCAGCTTAAATAGATAAAATTTCTTTTAAAAAAATGTGTTATTAATTGTCATAATTTATATCACAGCAATTCAAGCCTAGCAGGTCATGTAGCAAGATCAGTTGATGACCGGTGGACAAAAAGAATTTTGTAATGGAGACCCCGAATGCAAGCTAACAGAAATAGAGGTCAACCCCAAACGAGATGGACAGATGACATAAAAAGAGCGACTACAAATTGGATTCAGATGGCGCAAAATCGGACTAAGTGGAAAAGCATGCGACAGGTCTATGCTCAGCAGTGGACGTTAGAGGCTAGTTGATGATGAATTCAAGCCTAAATCTACTTAAAAACTAGTTCAATGATTGAATAATTATTTAATAATTATTATTATGAATGATAAATTGATCATAAAAGATCGAAAGTAATGTGTAAAAATAGTTTTTAAAAAAATATTGATCTTTAATTTAATAATGTTGAGAAGTTTTATAGTTTACTGTACTAATCTGGCAATTCCGGAACTCTACCTAATTTTACAACAATATTTGCATATAAAATTTAGATCATTTTTCAGGAACAACTGGACAAGATCCTGAACAATGTGAAACAGATTTTCCATCAATTGTCAGCTGCATGGCCGATGGTAGAAATCATGTTCCCTGTTGTATACAAGAAAGGGTACCTGATATATGTCAAGATGTCTGTAGAGGAGAGTACACAGCTATCACCGATAACATTAAAACTCACTTTTCCTGTTCTTCGTACACAGAGCAGACGTTGGCATGTATTGTAGAAGGCATTGGTATGTACCTTATTATTATATTGTTAGATATTGTTAAACTTATCATATAACTTAAATATTACTTGAATAAGATTAAACAGTAAGCAAAAATGACCAATTTTAAGTTTGTCAGAGTATAGAATGAGGTAAAAATCAAAAGCAAAGATAAATACTAAAATAGTAGAAAAGTGTTTTTTCTACATATCTATGAGAGGCATACGATTAGCATCGGTCGCACTGCGGTAAATAAGCTTATTATATATTATCTTTTAACTATTATGCATGTCCTTGGTACTTCCACAGATCTATTATATACAGTAGACTCGCGATTATCCGAGTCCCGACTAACCAAGCCACTGGAATAACCGAGGTAGTAATTGTAAAGAACAAGTTATGTAGTAAATTAGCTTGGAGAGCGAGATCAAGTGAAATGGTGTGCGTTGGCTGTTAGTACGCTGAAGGAATGTCCCTAGCGAGTGTTATTGTTCTAGCCACTATGCTTCTACTAGCCGCCTTGTCACCCACTTTTTCACCTGTCAGTTTGAGTTACCACAACTAGCTGTTTGGTTGGTTCCACTGTAACCTCTTACCAGTTCATCCGGTCTTCTCTTTGTGTTAAAACGTAAACGAGTTGTGGTTTCTTTAGAAACAAAATTAAGTCCTAAGTGAAAACTGAAGCTTAAGTGAAACGCATGGATAAGAGTGAATCAGTAAAGAAGGTTGCTACTGATCTAGGTGTTGGAGAAGTGACTGTAGAAGATTGAAGACGTAAACGAAAAGATATTAAACAGTAAGTTAATAAAAGTGTGAGTGGTGGTTTGTTGCGGAAAACTATGAAGAAAGGAGACTTCTAAAACCTTATTTTTATGGTTTACTAATCTTCCAGTATTGGGAAGTCCAATTAGTGGACCAATAATTCAAGCTAAGGCTATCGAGTTTCACAAACGGTTTAAGAATAGAATGGCAATAAAAACTTTATTGCAAGTAAAGGTTGGTTCCACAAATGAAAGAAGAGGTATGGCATCCGACAACTGAACATTTAGGGTGAAAAACTTTCGATTAATTCATCTGAAATTAAACCGTTTAATTTAAAATAGAGAGACCCATTTTAAACCTGACGTCAGAAATCTTTAATTGTAACATAACGGTTCTCAATTTTATAATGCTTTCAAAAAAAAAAACACTGGAGGCCCAAAATGACAAACTGCGCTTGGATACTAAAACAGCAAAAAACGAGTAGTTCTTTTCATGTGTCGCTGCTTTTCTGGATTCTTCAAATTAGGACCTCTACTTATTGGAAAATCAAACAATCCAAGCAGTTTTAAAAATATTCAACTAAATTGCCTACTCACCATGTACAGGAATCAACGTAGTACGTGGATGGATTGACAAATTTTTAAAGATTGGTTTTTTGACGAGATTCAAAAATTCAAAAATTCAAAAAAATTCAAAAATTCAAAACGACTTGTCAACCCCATTTCAAATACATAGGGGGTTAAGGCAGGGAGATGCGCTGGCGTGTCAGCTTTTTAATGTCGCCTTAGAAAAAGTTGTACGAGACGCTAATTTAGATAGCAGGGGAACAATATTTAATAGATCAGTCCAAATTCTAGCATATGCAGACGACGTGGACATTATAACAAGAACTAGGGCGAGAACTGCGGAAATCCTAACCGAGCTAGTAGCAGCAGCAGAAGGAATGGGGATACATATACATCAAAATAAAACCAAATTCATGGCGACTAACACAAACACAAGAGCTGGAAATGTTGACACAAATTTAATCATCAATGACCAAACTTTCGAAGCAGTCAATGAGTTCATATATCTAGGGACATCGGTTAACCTCAATAATAATACATCTGAGGAAATAAAAAGGCGAATAACAATTGCAAACAGGTGTTATTATCGTCTATCAAAGTACCTAGCTAACAAACGTCTGTCTCAAAAAACTCGTATAAGGCTGTATAGAACACTGATAGTCCCCGTTCTCACATACGGATCAGAGGCATGGACGCTAACGAAAACAGATGAATCCGCTCTATCCATTTTTGAAAGAAAGGTGCTACGCAAGATATTTGGAGCGGTCTGTGAGAACGGAATATGGAGGCGTAGATATAACTTCGAACTGCAGAATATCTACAAGCATACGTTTGGTGGTACAGATATTACCACTATAATTAAGCGAAACCGCCTGCAGTGGGCAGGACATGTAGCTTGGGCCTCTGAATCGAACATGATAAAAAAGATTCTAACAGCGCAACCTGTGGGAATGAGACGACGGGGTAGACCAAAGCTGAGGTGGATGGATGGGGTAACACAAGATGCGGAGAAGATCGGAGTCGGCAACTGGAAAATTCAAGCAAGGGACAGAACAGAATGGCGTAGAAAGCTTGAGAAGGTCGAGGCCCTCTAAGGGCTGTAGCACCAAGATGATGATGATGATGATTTTTGACGAGTTTGTTAGCGTTGTTGAGGCCTACTTAAAAAAGATACCAAAAAAGATATTCTTCTTTTGGACAACGCGCCATCTCATTCAGATGCAAGTTCGTTAGCTAACGGTGACATTAAAGCTGTTTTCTTGCCACCAATCATTACAATTTCATTTAGGCTCTGGGCCAAGAAGTTTTAGAGGCTATGAAACGGAACTATCGTCTAAGGCTTTTCCAAGTGCTCTTGACCTGGTTGAATGAGGGAATGACTGTGACAGAAAAAGATCACCGTTAAGAATGTGTCTTACTGAATAGCTTCAGCGTGGGATGATGTGAGAGTAACATCTTTGCAAAAGTCATGGCGAAATTTTTTTCAAATTAAAGCGACAAGTGACTGACAAAATAACAATATTTATATTGCTGAAAAAGTAGACTTCGCTAATCAGTTACTAACGGAACTAACCATAAATAATGAAAACGTCAACGACAATGCGAGACTGCATTGTCGTTGACGTCTTCAACCGATGACAAGATCTGCAAATGGAACTAACTGATGAAGCAATCACTGACATGGTTATCAACCCGCACAATGTCACTGAGGATGACACAGATGAAATAATCGAGAAAATTTCTAACTCCGAACGATTAAAGACTATTGGAGCTGCCGTCGCCTACATTGGGCAATAGGGAGAATCAACCCCTACCTATATCCTTCATCTTCGGCGTTGGCGCAACATCGCAGCGTTGAAACGAGGCCATAAGTTGACGCAGAAATTTATCAAAAACTTTTTAAAACATGAAGAAGATTTGGTACGTAAATGTTTTCTTATATATATATATATATATATATATATATATATATATATATATATATATATATATATATATATATATTCATTATGTAATTTGTATACAGGTTTACATACTTTAATTGCATATACATAAAAAAGTTTATTTTAAGAGTTTTTCGGTATCCCAGGTATACGCGGTCCTAATTATATTAGATAATCGCGAGTCTACTGTATAAGCATTCAGTCATGACGCTATTATAGTGTTATTTGGTCCTGCCATGCCTAGGGATCTTATATTAAGGTAGCATGGAACCCTTTTAGCATAGTAGCAGCAAATTATGCAGAAGCTATGTAACTGTCCTGCAGGTTTTGGAGTAGAGTTTCTTCCTCTTTTGCTTTACCTTTTTATTTGCAGAGTCAGAGGGGTTACTCATTTTTGAGTCAACTTCTGGTTTATCTCTTCTTTATCCACGAGTCGGAACGAAATTCTGTCAGGCTATAATCCTTTAGTATTCGCCAACTTTCTGGCGTATCACTTATGCAGCACTTCAACTGATGCAGCCATCAGTTTCATTTTTGAGACAAGAAGGTTATGGTCTAAGGGGACCATAACCTTCGGATCTGCTCCAGGAAAAGTTTTAACGCTTACAATTAAATTTTTAAATCTTAAATTAGAATGAAGTCGATCTGATTTCTAATGCAATTTTGTTTTGTGTGAAACTGTTTGTTCATAATCGCCAGGTTTTCTTCTTGACAAATTTGAGCCAATCTGTCGCCTCTAGTATTTCTTATTCCTATCACCTGTTATATTGTCGACTCGGCCTTTTTCTATCTTTGCATTTAAATCACCCATTATTACAGTATTTTTTTCCTTTCTTGTGTATTGTAGAAGTCGTTTGAGTTGTTCATAAAAATGTTCTATTTCAGCCTCTGATTTATCTGCAGTTGGAGCATACACTTACTTACTACATTAATGTTCACTGGCTTACCCTGTATTTCTAATAATAGCATTCTATCTAAAAAAGGAACAAAATTTACAGCGGCTGCTTGGATTCTCTTGGATATAATTATTCTAACTTCAAATAGATGAACTCGGGTGTCATGTTCAGAGTAGTCTATCGTTTTATCCATGATTAATGTTTTACCGGAACCAGGTCAGCGCATTTCGCTTATGCTTAATATTTCTAGGTTTAGTCTGTTGATTTTCTGAATCGTATTGTGCGTCTTTCCTTGTCCGAACAAACTCCTCACATTCCATGTCCCGAAATTTAAAAAGGATTTGTTCTCTATATAGTTAGTTGCCACATCCAGGTGGCTTCTCTTCGCGGATATTCTTAGCACCCCTCAACCATTAAAGGTCCGCCGCGGACTAGGGGCCATGTGATTGACCGTAATTTACATGGGTATTATTCTAGGGAAATCTGACGATCTTTACTGTAGTGGTTTTCCGTTGCCTTCTACATCTTTATGCCGTTGACCACTAAAAAGTTCATCTGCCTTTGGAGCCAATTTCTCAACCCTAGAACAAAAAAGTGCCCTAGCATAGAATATAGAAGAAAAAAATATGGTGACCCGTCTGTATTCGGAAATCTAATAGCCATTCGGGGTCGGAAGCGACAAGAGTTAGCCAAGAGAGGCTGATAGAAAAGATTAAAGATATTTTACTCGAGACAAGTTGGAAAAGAATAAAATCTGAAAGCCCTTATGATGCGCCAGGTGCGTTTCATAAGCGTATGAGTATTAATACACTTTGTGTCCCCCCTCATACCTCGGGGTGTTGACTACAGACTGTATGGCTTATCCAGCATGCCATAGCATAGAAGGTAGCGTGCATGTCATTTTTTTTAACCTAGACACCTCACACCATGACCTGATCGTTACTACTTGTTGTAGTTCGTCATTACATGTTTCCCTTTTTGTTGTTTGAGGATTGTTATTTTCTAGACCGTATACTCCGATTATGTTCAGGTCTTCCTTATCCATTCTTAACTCTACTGTTACAATAGTTTCTGATATGTGTTACAAACTGAACATTAAATGCAGAAAATTTATTAAAACATGAAGGATTCTGTGGTATGACAAGTTCAATACTAGGAGGATAGCAACTCATTTGATAAATGGTGAAATGGTAAAAAGGTCGAGATAATGGTCAAATAATATTATATTGTATTTGTTATTTAAAATTTTATATATTATTATCTTTCCGTAAAATATTTATTGAAGCTAACCTTACCTTTGACTTTTTTCTTACACTGTCACCACTAAACACCATGACATGACTACCATTGCTAACATGACGTAGCAACTTTCAAAAATAAAATTGTTAAACTCGTTAAATTTAAAATGTCTTTAATTTTTTTAAAATTTTTAAATTTTCTGCAAAATTTTCTTTAATATTTTTTTTGTAAAAATATCTACAAAGTATTAGAAAACATAAAAATACACGAATGAAATCGGTAAAATCTTTTGACTAATTTTTTTTTTTTTCACTTTAGAGCTACTACCTAGTCCTCCAGTAAACGTAGAAGTAGAAGCTCTCACAGAAAAATCCCTTCGGGTTCAGTGGAATCTACCAGTATCAAACAATGAAACTATAACGGAATTTGCAGTAAACGTCACCTCATTAAAAAGTTTTGATATCAGGAAAACAAGCAACAAAGACAGAAATGACAGTGCCACATTTACACAAAGCGTTTTAGTTAAGGTTCCAGTAAGCCAAACCAGTACAGTCTTACAAAATCTATTACCATTCACAATGTACGACATTACTGGTGAGTGGAGTATTATTTTATTATATTATGATTTATACAAAAAACTACAATACAAATTAATAGTAGTATTTCTCCAAACTCCTAATATCTAATGAAAATATTGGGTTCATTAATTAACTCTTTTATATACAAAAAAATGTAATAAATAATTTTTGTTATAGTGACTGCTATTAATCGTCACGGCAGCAGTCTTCCAAGCTACAGCGTCCGTTCGTTAACATTAACACCAGGCAGCGTGAAACAGACAACAACTGGACGGCCGCCACAACTGCCAGATATAAAAAGTTGTTGCGCGAACAAAGGTATCGTGCACAAAACATGTGTAACAAAACTGTGCGACCCAATACAAGCTTCATCAGCTGAAATAACAGATCTTATGATCTGCGCACCTTGGGCTGCTGACACTTTCGGATGTTTGACCAATGGAATGGACCATACTCCTTGTTGTAGAGCGAGAGGTTTGCCGGATATATGTCAGCATCTTTGTACTGGCAATGTGTCAAGTATAGACTTTAATTATTTTAAGTAAGTATTACAAAGTTTTTATATACCGTTTGGAGAATCGTCAAACGTATTATAGGAAACGACACCCTCTTTTTCCATATACCTTGCCTCGTATACTTAAAAGAAGCATATTATATTTCTCTGGGTGATGCCTAACATGGCCAAAATATTCCAGTTTGCAATTTTTACTGTTCTGACCACTTCCTGTAACTTTTCTTATGCGCTGCAAAACAACCTCGTTATGAACTCTATTGTCCCAACTTCTTCTTCTTAGAGTGCCTGTCCGTTCCGAACGTTGGCGATTATTCTGGCTATGATGATTTTGTTGGTTGCTGTACGAAATAGCTGTGTTGAGGTCTTTCTATACCATGCTCTCAGGTTAGCAAGCCAGGATATTCTTCTTCGTCCTGGGGCTCTTTTTACTTTAATTTTATCCTGCAAAATGCATTGGAGTAGCTCGTATCTGCCTTGATTTCTCATTATATGACCCAAGTACTCCAGCTTACGACTATTCACAATGTTTACCAAATCCGCGGTTGTGTTCATCCTCCGCAGTACTTCGTCACTGGTGACTTTGTCTGTCCATGGTATGTCCATGGTTTTCCCAACTGTTTTGCTGAATTTCAATATACCCAAGTTTTAAAAGCTTCCTTAGAAGTATATCTGTTAAATTCCAACCTTGGAAATCATATAAAATAAAAGAGAACACATAACATCTAATTAATCTAATTATCAGTCTCAAAATATTATTGTTGTCACGTAAGATTTCCGTCATCTTAAAAAATGCAGCTTTGGCCTTCTCTATGTATTCTAATTTCTTTGCTTATATCCCATTTTTCATTTAGATTACATCTAAGATAAGTGATTATGTAGGTTCTCTCCAGTTGTTCCCCATAAGTTGTTACCACTTCTGGTTGTATTGGCGTTTTCCTGACAACCGTTAATTTTGTCTTTCTGGTGTTTAGCTTCAGTCCATATTTATCACACGTTGTGGTAATCCAATTTATCAGTTGTACTAAAAGTAATACTATAATCCTATAAATTAGATCCTACTAATCAGAAATGTAGGTGTTTGAGAAAAATTCAGCAATAGCGTTTTATTAATGCGGTAATGCAAGCACTTCCACATATTTATTAAGCGTAAGATATTCTAATAGACCAATTCCAGATTATACCACAAATTATCAAAATTTATACAAAATTCATTTAAAAGTTTAAAAATACTGGGACGGTGATTCCTAATTGTAACTACATTTTTAATAGTTAAAGAACAAATAAAAAATAGTTACAATAGGTAATAGTATAATAGGTTATATATAACATAAAACTATAATAAAATGTTTAAATAATCCTTCATTTTATACTAAGCATCTACTGCTATTTGCTACTCTCTCAATCGACTATAAAATTCTCGTCTAACATTAGCCAGAACGCATCAAATGCCACGATAGTTATTTTTGTATACTCTTCAATAATTTGTATTTCTAATGCTTCAGTATCTGAGTGAAATAAATTTTGGATTTTATATGCCGCCAGATAAAATTACCGTTTGTAAAAAATTATTAAAACTGATTTAACGAATTCTTTAATCTTTCGGCTATTGTGCGTAGGCCACCCATCCATTTGAAAATGGATTTTCTTCACCTGGATTTTCTTCACAATGTACCAAATTTCTTCACCTGGAGTTGCTCGGTAAAATCTCTTCTTGTAGGAAGTCCAAAAACTGGATATAAATTGTTCCCATGGACAAATAGTCCAATAGTATTGTGTCTAAATATTCCTAACCAGATATTTATTTTTTTAGGATATTACGCGTTTTCAATTATACCATCAGGCTTTCTTTTCAAGCAAACCCTATAATTTTTAACATTTGGTTCATTATTTATTGTAAATGAAGATTCACCGCTACACAAAATGTTTTTTAAATTGTCTCTCTACAATAACCCATCTAAAATTTTCTAATAAAATTCTGCATGTCACTCAGCACCTCCTTGTTTAGTTCTTAATTACATTGGAATTTATAAGAATAAAATTTGTTTCTATTCAAAAATTTTTAATATTAGTAGGACCTTTTGATATTATTATAAATTTGGTCAATCACATGTAAAGTCAATATCAATGTTAACGTAAAGTTTTATCTGCGTGCATCGGCTATTTACTACATCTAGTAAAGTCTTTAGTTCTTCCATATTTTCAGTCATAATTACTATGTCGTTTTCAAATATAAACAAATAAAAAACAATTAAGTAAAAAAAGATGTTTAGTACATTTTGGTTGATCAGAGTTTTTTTACTATTGTATATTTTCTAGGTGTCTTCGTTACATGGGTGAATACACAAACTGCCTACTTCAAGGATATGGAGTTCTACCAAGTGCTCCTACTGAATTCCACGTAACTAATATAGAAACTGAATTTGCTATCCTTCATTGGTCTCAGCCTAAAACACTGGGAGATACAGTTTTATACTATAATCTTTTTATACGCAACGCCGATGACGAGCTTTCTGAGTATACCATGATGAAACGGGTGCGCAGTCCATATATTATGGAGAATCTAGAAAGCGAGACTGAGTATGAGGTATACGTGCAGGCTGTCAATGCTCATGGTGTGGGAACTCCTAGTGCAATGTTGACTTTCAGAACAGAAAGTAAGGTACGGTGTTAACTATTATAATAATTATTATATTAAATCATAATCACTGTTGCTTTATTTTCTCACACAGAGAGTTTAAAGTTTAAGGTTATAGAGATACATACACTGCACGCATTTACACTGAGAAGAGAGAGAGAGCAAAATGGCATAAGAGACATCATCCCATTTGCGATTACTGTGTATTAGTTGTTCTTGTCTTTAAAGCGTAAATGTAGATGTTTTATATCACAACATAAACAAAGACCGAAAACATTTTTAAATAATATTTTCAAAATTTTTTAAATCATGTCAGAAAATCATTTTTTAGCATAAACAAAATTTTAAAAATTTTTACAAATGGTGCATTATTAACCTTTCAGGGAATGATACCTTTCAGGTACACAAAATACACATCGGACTAGCAGTCCGCAAATCTAGAGAAGGTCCAAAAAACAAATATTTTTGGAAAAACGGTCTAAGAACTTGTCGAATCTTTAAATATATATTTATAATAGAAAAAAAACATTTGCACACAAATTTATTAAAACTTGTTTTTAAGCTCATGATTTGAAAATAAAAGTTAACAGAAATATCTTTTTCACATTTTGAGTACTATACAACACAAAAGCTAAAATTAAACAAATACAAAACAACTATTTCTAAAAAATTTAACAAAGACTAAATAAAAAACAAATTTTTGAGATGCGCAAAGTTGATAAATGAATAAAGGTAAATAAGTCAATATTCGCTGCTGTCTTCGGACATACCATCCTGTAGGCAGTCGGAGCAAATGCATTTCGCGTGTTCTAAGCATACAAATGTTTGGCATTTTTAACAGGTATATCTGGTTGGCCTATTTTTTTCTCTAATGCAGTAAAAACAACGATCTCGACAATTAGATTGTGGATTTGGGCTAGAACAATTTCTTCCTCGATACGGCAAATTTCTTTAATTTTTGACCTAATTGATTTAGGAATACGTTTATTTAAAAATCGACGTTGCAGATGATCGTTTACTCGTTCCATACCAACAGCTTCTAAAAAATGTCCTCTAGGTATTTTATATATCTCATTAGATTTATATTTGTTTATTATAAATAAATTAATACCGGCTATATTTATTGCAGAATAAAAAATGACCATATGCCATCAACGAGTGTCTCAACGCAATTGTAGGCAGCATACATTTTATCAACAAGATGTACTTCTCCTTTGGATTTATTATAGTCAAAGATGATTTCTGGCTAGCCCGTTGAATTCTTCTAGCAATCGTACATTTTTCTCTAAAAGCAAACCTACTTGTTTTTTTCTGGCCTTTTAGGATCAGTAAATTAAAGTAAAAGCTCTCTTTTGTTTTTTTCTCATAGTGTTTATCATAGTCAGATGGTATTCGTTTAAAAGAAGATCGGCCAAGCTAAGGCTCGTAAAAAAATTGTCCATTGTTACATTTCTGTGAGAACCAGATACGCAGAGGCGAGGAACGAGGGAAATATTGCTCGTATCAACTTTATATGGCCAGGTCACTGTTGTCCAACGTACACCTCTAGATTTGCGGTATAAGGAAACTTAGATTTAAATGCCGTATTTATTAGATCTATGGGGCATATAATATACTAAAGCCACATTTGCCACGAAAAGCTTCCAGTTTTTCATCCTCTGTTGTATATGCTGACAATGAAAGATGTTTAGGTAAATTTGAATTAAACGAATTGAAGAATTCTCTCACAGCTGCCAATTTGTCGTTCGTTTATCATTAAAAACGTATGTGTCTGAGCAAAAACTTAAACCGTGTAAGGAACAATGTCAATCTAAAAATCTCTGGCGATGAGCTGTTTGTCCTAAAAAGGTTTTCTGCATTTTTTTGGTTATTTTTGGTTACCTCAGCTATATTTTCTTTTTTACAAATTTATTACTAAGATTGTACGAACATTATTTAATAAAGATATTCGTGTTGTCTACAATGATTTGCAAAATCTCTTCAGTAATAAAACAACTCCAAATCATTGATGCTCTTTTTATATGTCGTACTTTCCTAGTAACTACAGAAATTTCTACCTTCATCAAATTGTCACTGCGAGTTCGTATCTGGTGATTTCCTACATATTTCTTTTATTTAGTTGTTTTATCCTAACCATTGAACTGCGGCACCTTTGTGGAACATTCAAGACTTCTGAGATTGTCTTCTCAATTTCTTCTTCAATGACGGTGTTGTAGTCCTCTATCTCTTCGAAATCTCGTTCCAAACTAGCATCGTCATCGTCAGGTTCAACTTCTGGCTCAGAAACAGAATTCCAAATCTTTTTCGAATCAAGAAGCCTTTTTAGATATGCTTGTTGCTATTTATAATGTTTATTTAAAAAATCTATAAAACAAATTTATATCAATCAAATATACAGAAAACATAATCGTTAGATCACCTCCAATTATAAATTACATTATTATTTTTTATTTGACCAGAAATAAGATATATATTTTTATTATTATTCAGTTAATGCCTCGACAACTAAGATCATTGGCATGGTACAGTCAGGTACCTAGTGTAGTGTGTGTGTGTGTAGGTGTGGGTGTGTGTGTAGAGTAATTGTCTTGATACTTAGCAAAGTCGACGTCATTATCTTTGCTAAGAGACGCTTATTATATCCGAACGTCTGCGGTCCCTCCGGTGAGAATAAGATATTTTAAAATTAAACATTACCTGAAAATTTAAGATAACTTGTCAAATATATATATATATATTTTTTTGTATAATGTGCAAACTCACGTTTTGGAGGTGAATATAGCAGCAGAACTAAATGCACTATACAACTCTCACAATTGTACTGAGTAGAGTATCCCCTCTCTTGAAGCAAGCGAGCATGCCGCGACCGAAATCATAATGAATCGTCAAAAATCGACAAATAATTTGACAAATGCACTCATAGTCCTCACATTAACTCCAAAAGGTTAATACATTTTAAATGAGTATTCGTTTTAAAAAAAATCTTTAGAAATATTGACCAATATGTTAATACCGGAAATTAAAAAATCACCGTGTTAGAATTTATAGCATTTGGTAATCAAAATTTAACACAAATTTAAAAAAAATCTGTGGACCAATGCCAAAAACTAGCCCAACAACAATCGCTGAAATTCTAATGCCTGCTTAGCAAATAAGCCTTTTAAGAATTCATGGTCGTACAACAAATTGATATATTAACAGCGTTTTCTGAGTTAAAGCGATGTTGAATATAGCTGCACCGTGTTTAAATAATTTAAAATTTGACTTCACGTCGAACCTTTGTCGTTAACAGACGTGTTTAATAGCTAACCTAATTACACCTAGTTTTTTGCGATATTATTTATATTCAGTTGATAAAATTGCAATAAAGTGTAGTGTTAATATAAAAATAAATTTGAACTACTTGGAAAAAAACTGTAAGTAGTATTTATTATAATATAATTAAAGATACTTATATCAAAACAAGTTCCTGCTACCGGATTTATCAACTACACAACTTTTGGTACCTCATTACCGATTCTGTTGTGACAAACAGGACCGTCTGAAGAATAGAGGTACCAAAATATGAATAATATTTTTAAAAATGGATGAAGATTCTGTTGGTTCTGTTTCTTCTCCTAACAATAATCAACCATGTTCATATTCCAACGCTGTTACTTCATTTAAATATCCAACCAAAAACCAAGCCATTGTCCTATCTGCTCTCAATGGAATAAAAATAAATGAATACGTGATAGCAATAGGAAATATAGTAAAACCAGAAAATATATTATTTGCATCCCGCATCTCAAATAACAGAATTTGTATTTATCTCTCCAATACCGAAGTCGTCAATACATTGCTGAAGACACATACATCAATATCCATTAATGATTCAGAAGTTGAAGTAAGACGTCTAATTACTCCTGCTACAAGACTGGTCATCTCAAATGTCTGTCCCACTGCCCTGTTCTATCACAATTGACATCAACCGAAACGCCCATTGAATCTCAATCTACAATATCACTTCCGTCTAAACCTCAAAATCTTACAACAGAAGCAGGAAATCCTATTAATAATACCACTAACTTTCAAATAACAACAGAAGATATTCACAACGAAACGACTAAAAATAACAATCCTATTACTTTGAACACTGATGCCTCCCATCAAAAAACAAAGAGACAAATATCTACTGACTCTCTTGAGATACATGAAACGCCACCCGATCCAACAATTTTTACCATACCCAAAAATACAGTTAAGCGGCCAAAATCATCACAATCTGATATCCTCGAGTCACTTGAATCTATTAAAGGTAAAATCGAATCTAAATACCCGACATTTCCTCTTAAATTTACAGTTCTTTGTGACGCGATATGTAACGCATTAAACTCAAATTATCCTACCCCCATAGTAGAAAATTACACAACCGTTATAAGTTCTTTTAAAGAGATACTTCTATTCGCCCACGACCATATTCCTGATCGCAAAATAAAAAATAAACTAACAAGACTTCGAAAAAAGATACAATCCTTAGTTACCGGTTCATCCTCGGATATTGAAAGCGATAACTCCCTTTCCCACGTTGTAAAATAGAATGGATAATACATTTATATTACAGTGGAATCTTAATGGTTATTTTAATAATTTAGAATCCCTTAATCTACTTATAAACGATCTTTCTCCTCTTATAATATGTTTACAGGAAACCCACCTTAAGACTAATAACTTTAATATAAAAAATTATTCCCATTTCCTTAAAAATCGAGACGCAACATATGCTAGTGGAGGTGTTGGTATTTTTGTAAAAAATCACATTCAGACCAAAGAAATTAAGCTACATACTAATCTAGAAGCTGTAGCTGTATCAGTGTCATGCAGTATCAACTGCAGACCTATTAACATATGTAACATTTACCTCCCTCATCCAAATGAAAATTTACTTGAAGAATTACATCGCTTAATCGATGATATTCCTGCTCCCAAACTAATACTTGGTGACTTGAATTGTCATAATATCACATGGGGTAGTATAAAAACAGACAAATGTGGTAGACTTCTTCAGAAATTAATAGACAATCAAAATCTAATTTTAATGAATACTGGTAAATCTACTCATTTCAGCTCCCACAATAGTACTTTTTCTGCCATCGATATTTCATTGTGTGATCACACATTAGCTACAAGTTTTTCTTGGAATAGTCTTGATTATCTATATAATAGCGATCATTTTCCTGTAACAATTGAAACCATTTTGCATGATCAACCAAATATTCCTGTTTACCAAAAATGGAAATTAAACTCAGCAAACTGGGACTTATATAGAGATCTATTAAATAATTATCTTACGAACTTTATTCTAGAAGATAGCATAGATTCATCTCTTCATCATTTCAATGATACTATAGTAAAATGCGCTAATATTGCAGTGGGAAAAACAAAACCTTGTAAACGAAAACCAGTACCATGGTGGAGTGAAGAAATAGCCTTAGCTATGAAATCTAGCAAACATGCTTTCAATGTTTTAAAAAGACATAAAACAACAGAAAATGTTATCAATTTTAAAAAACTTAGATCAAAAACTAAATATCTTATTAAGAAAAGTAAAAAAGAAACATGGTCAAATTATGTCTCTACCATAAATTCATCAACACTATGACTACAATCTGGAATAAAGTTCGTACATTAAAAGGTGAACAAAACTCAATTCATATTAACACTCTTTATTATAAAAACAAATTAATATCTTCCAAACAAGAAATTAGTAATATTATGTCAGATGTATATAAGAATAATTCAAGCAATGCAAACTTCAATCCCGCATTTTTAGATTCCAAAAATAAACGTGAAATGACAGATATATCTATAATAGATAGTGATAATCCACTAAATTTCCCCATCACATATCAAGAATTTGAAGAAGCTCTAGATAAATCAAAAAACACTTCATCGGGTCCTGATAATATACCAATCATATTTATCAAAAACTTGCCGTACATAGGAAAATTAATTCTCTTAGACATTTTCAATCACATTTACCTTAATAAAAAATTTCCTTCAATCTGGTCTGAATCAACAATTATTCCCATATTAAAACCTTTCAAATCAAAAACTGACCCCCTTTCCTATAGACCAATTTCTCTTACAAATAATACATGCAAACTACTAGAAAAAATTTTAAATAACAGATTAATGTGGTTTCTTGAAAAAAACCAATTATTAAGCCATATCCAAAGCGGTTTCAGAAAAGGCAGATCAACTCATGATGCCTTAGTAGCTATTGACAATATTATATGTGAGTCCTTTAGAAATAACCAGAAAGTAATTGCCATATTTTTTGATATAAACAAAGCATTTGATACTGCATGGAGATACAACATTTTACAAACCATGTCCAATTGGGGTATCCAGGGAAATTTGCTTGCCTTTGTAAAACATTTAATGAATAATAGGACATTTCAAGTACGTGTAAATGGAATTACCTCAAAAACAGAATGTCTTGAAAACGGTATTCTACACCACCTTAAGCCCCACTTTATTCTTAATAGCAATTAATAATATCGCTCAAGAGATAAAGCTACCTTTGAAAGCAGGTCTGTATGCAGATGACTTAGTTGTATATACTAGTAGCTGCAATATTACACTAGCCTCAAACTGATTGCAAAACAACACTTACTCTAAATAGTATCAACCTATAACAAGTAGAGAGCATTGACTTTCTTGGCCTAAGACTGGACAGTCAGTTAACATGGGCAGAACATATTAAAAAGCTAGTCTTATCCTGCCAATCTAAAATAAATCTTCTTAAAATGCTATCAAACCGATCTTGGGGAGCGGACGCCATAAAATTGTTGCATATAATATCAATCACTAATCCGAAGCAAACTGGATTATGGTGCAATATGCTATTCAACTGCGAGTAATTATATACTTAAAAAACTAAACATTATACAAAACACATGTTTAAGACTAATTCTGGGTGCTTACCGAACTAGTCCTGTTTCAAGTTTTCAGGTTATCCTAAATGAATCTCCCCTATCAATACGAAGACAGCACATTTCTTTAAATTATGCCGCGAGATTGTCTTCCAACCCTAATAACACAAATTATCCACTTCTTTATAAAATATATCCACCTACTCATTGCCATCAACAAATTAAATATCCACCCCTTAAAGAACGTCTAACGAGATACGGTTTTGACATGGAGCAGCTCACACATTCTTACCTTACACAACGAACTATACCTCCCTGGACTATTAATTTTCCCACTATTGATCTATCCCTCACGGCCTATCCAAAGAGTACCACAAATCCCATAACCATTAACAAATTATATCAAGAACGGATATTAGAATACACTGGCCATAACAAGATTTTTACCGATGCGTCAAGAACTGAAAACGGACACGCAGCGGCCTTTATTCTAGGAAAGTCTGAATATGCAGTTCGCATCCCTCAATTCTGCAGCATTTTCACGGGAGAAGCAATCGCCATTTTAAAGGCTTTAGACATGTGTAAGAGTCATGCAAGCTCAGATTTTCTTATCATTACTGACTCTTTATCTGTTCTTCAGAGCTTAAGGCAAATATATCCAGTACATGCTATCCTGCAAAAAATACAATTAGCACTTTATCACCTACAAAACAGACACGTGAACGTTACATTTCTCTGGGTACCATCACATACAGGTATCGCAGGAAATGAAAAAGTAGATGAATTAGCAAAGAAAGCTGCTACTGACGAGCAAACTGAAATTATGACTACAATTCCATTCAGTGATATCCAGCTCAATATTAAACAGCACTGTGTGAAAAATTGGCAACAAATGTGGAATTCTACTAAGGCTAACCTTAAAAACGTGAAAACTAGGATTGGCACTAAACTACAATTTCCAGAAAACAGAAGGCAACAAGTGATTATAAACCGACTAAGAATTGGACACACAGCGTTAACTCACCAGCATCTCATAACAAAAGAACTACCACCTGAATGTTCCTATTGTGAATGTCCAATAACTGTTCAACATGTATTGATTGAATGTCCTCTTTATTCCTACGAAAGAGCCATCAACAACGTACCAGAAGAAGCAAAGAAACTTAAAGATATTTTAAACAGTAATGTATCTAATACAATCAAATTCCTTAAGGACATACGTTTACTACACAAAATTTAAGTTATATTATATGTATCTCTTTGTAATTTGTAATTTATTATGTGTAATTTAATACGCAATTTGTAATTAGTAAATTTGTATTTGTAATAACAACTGTAAAATATGTAAAACCCGCTAATAACCTTTAATGGTTGATGCGGAAATTCTAAATAAAAAAAAAAAAAAAATTTAAAATTAGAATTTTATTTTTACTTTACATGCGTAGAGGTTTATTAACTAACTTACTAACATCCAAGAATATTTATAGTTCTTTATTTAATCATTTAAAGCAGTTTATTTGTATGATCTCAATTAAAAAATATTATTCTTTATTATTAGATAGTTGAAGAGAAAATCGAAGAAGCGTTGGTCTACAACGTTACAGGCTGTTGTGTAGAAGCTCAAGTCAACTCGGTGTGTCTACCTCTTTGTTCCTACAATGCCAACATGACTGATTTAAAAGCTTTAGCCAGTGTCTGCAAGGGAGACTACGAGAAGATACTTAAATGCGCCGCAGGGGGGCGCAATCATGCAACATGTTGTCACAGACGTGGAGTACCATCAGGTTGTTTGCCAGTCTGTAATGGAGTGCTGCTTCATCAGTTTGCTTCAGCTACTACCAGCTGCGTACCGTATATTGGAAATATTGCTCAATGTTTCGAAGAAGGTAAAATATATTTTTTAAATAATTAAATACAAAGTATATTAAACTTTTATTCATTTATTTAACATTTCTAGGCGCTGGGAAATTGCCTGGTCCTATCTCTGGTTTACATGCTGTAATTATCGATGAACATAGCATCCTTTTGGAGTGGAATGTGCCGGACAATTCAACTAACGTTACAGATTATGTCGTCTACTATCAAAAAGTAGATAACACATCGATGTACGAGACGGTTTCCAAATTAGATCAGGTAAGGATCACAATTTATTAACATACTAATAGTAATTTTCAATTAAAGTGCTTAGCTTTTTCGGTTGTTAATACTTAAACAGTTGGAATCATGGTATAGAATTACGTGTCGTTTATGCAAACATAAAAATGAAAACATTCAATATTTTAGATTGAACTAAAAACTTCTTTCTGTTTATATTAAACCCTTAGGCATACATGTAACAAAGTTTTGTTTAGACTAATTTCTTTGCTTATTTTCCGTTTTGGTTTAATAATATTCCAATTCCAATATATAGAGAATATATTATGAGAAAGGTCTTACAAAGGAAGCGAGGTAAAATAACAGTAACAACAAAAGAATCACGAACCTTAGATAATGTCGATGATATTTTAATATTAGCCTTCTCATAAGATAAATTAGATCAACTAATGAACAAGTTTCACACTGTCAGCAGGGAACACGGTCTTGTCCTTAAAAAAGACTCAAATTATGGAATAAGATCGCAGGTCGTCTAAGTCCATAATAATTGATGATTTCTAAGTGGTTAGTAGGTTAAATTACGTCTTACAAAGAAGGCTGTAATAATAAAATTAAACGCAGACTATAAATGGCAACGTAACGCAATAACAAAACTAACTTATGTCTGGGAAGACTCAGCCACATCCCAATAAAATAAAGTAAAATACATTAGTTTATTTTTCCTATTGCAACATATGAATCTAAGACATAAGCATTAAGGGTTGCCAATCGAAGAAACATAGATGCTTTTGAGATGTAGGTTTACAAAACAATATTTTAAATTTCTTACACAGAGCATCGTTAATGATAAAACAACTATACGTCTTCACAAGATTGTCAATAAGAATAAAGCAATCCTACCTTAGATAATTTGGGAACAATGCAAGGAGAAGATAACACATAGAAAGCTGATCGTTTATAGTAGTATTAATGACAAACGACCATGACGAAGGTCTTCCGCACGCTGGAGGGACAAGTCACAAGAATCACTGATTGGTTTACACGAAGCTTCTTCTAGAGACCAAAGATATCAGACTGAGAAGGACAAAGAACCAGAATACAAGCGATCTTATAGACATGATGTCACTATACTACTTCGAAAGTTAAAAGACAAAAGGTGAATTTGGTATATACAATATTTGTTTTGTATATTGATCGAATCCTGTTTGGCTTCTAAATTTTAAATTTCACTACGTTAGATAGACAACCACTCAGTTTTGTTTGTCAGATCTTCTTCTTTGATTCTTGTTTCTTTTTAGTTTATCATAGTTTGGTTTGTTTTATATAATTTTTGAAATAAAGCTTCTATACTGGTATTGTATTACTTTTTTCTCAATAGTAAAATGCTGAGGCGTCATAGAACTAGCTCTACGAGACAACGTCACTGGTAGCATCGTGAAATAGCGGTTCTTCACACCGATTCACTACTCTCCAAAAATTCGTTTCTAGGCACCATATATTTATTCTAAGCTGGTTTAAATTAAAAACTGCATGAAAAATAATTAACAAAAATTAAAAGAATATCAGTCAATAAAGGATTCGATACGTAACGTCTATCAAAATTTTAAATTCACAAAATTTACAATAATATTGAATCATATGTTTATATAATAGTAAAATTACTTTATTCGATTTTAGAAATATTATTTTAATTTTAGAAATACAGAAAACATAATACGAAGCTTCACGCTAGTCTTCTGTACCGCCTACTTAATTAGCCTATATTTGTGCACTGCTGAACGTAGGCCTCCCGTAAAATTTTCCACCTATTTCTATTTTGAGCTTCTTGCATTCAGTTTGTGGTGATGTGCTTGATATCATCCGTCCATCTAATCGGTGGTCGTCTTCTGCTTCGATATGCATCTTGCCTTGGTCGCCATTCCAGAATCTGTCTGGTCCATCTATCATCCGTTAATCTGGCAACATGTCCGGCCCAAGCCCATTTAGCCATGGCTATTTTTTCAACTGCATCTGTGATTCCTGTTCTTCTTCTTATTTCTAGGTTTGGTACTTTATCTCTGATGGTAATACCTAATATTGACCTTTCCAATGCGCGTTGTGTAACTCTTATTTTATCTATTGTTCTTTTTTTCAGAGTCAGTGCTTCTGTACCATATGTAAGAACCGGTAAAACGCACTGGTTAAAAACTTTCTTTTTAAACAAACTGGGATACTATACTTGAAAATGTTATTCAATCTACCAAGGGCAGCCCATGTGAGACATATCCTTCTTTGTATTTCAGTTGTCTGATTATCTCGGCCTAAGCGAATCTCATGCCCTAGATATTTGTAAGCTATTACTTGGTCGATGCTATGGCTCTCAATCATAATTTTACCGCTGGCTACAAGGTTGGTCATAAATTTTGTCTTTGAGGTGTTAATTTTAAGACCAATTATTTTTGACAGTTTATAGAGCGTGTGCAATATTTTTATAGCTTTATCAACTCTATCAGATATTAAAACGATGTCATCGGCAAATCTGAGGTGGTTCAGATCTTGCCCATTTATATTAATTCCCATATTATCCTCTCGTTCCATTTACTTAAAAATATATTCAAGAACAGCTGTAAACAATTTAGGGGAGATAGTATCACCCTGTCTAATTCCACGTTCTATTCAAAACTTCTTGGTATCTTCATGAAGGCGGACACAAGCCTCACCAGTTTCGTAAATACTTTAATGAAGGCGGTATATCGGTAGTCAATGCAGAAGTCAGTTAATGCTTGAAGCATTTTATGATGATCTATAGTATCGAACGCCTGTTCATAATCTACGAATATACGAAAGATAGGCTTGTTATACTCTGTATACTTTTCTATTAGCGTTTTTATAACTTGTAGATGATCATTTGTTCCGTATCTGGAGCGGAACTCAGCCTGTTCACAAGGTTGGTAACTATCCAGTTTGTTCACAAGTCGTTTTGTTATTATCTTCATTAACAGTTTGTATGTATGGGAGAGCAAACTTATAGGTCTGTAGTTCTTTAGTTCTGAAATGTCACCTTTTTTTGCATTATAGTTATTATTGCATTATGCCCCTGGAGGGGGGGGGGTTACACCTCTTGTCAAACAAGCATTCAACATCTTTTTCAACACATTTAGTAACGTTTCTCCTCCTTCTTTGATTTGTTCAATGACTATCTTATCTTCTCCAGTTGATTTATTGTTTTTCATTTCCGAGAGAGCTGATTTTATTTCCTCTGATGTGATATCTGGGATGCCTTCTGAGCCTACATTTTGTACTTTTGGTATTTGATTTTGATCAGGATCTGGAATTTCTTCTCGCTTATACAATTCTGAGTAAAAATCTTGAGCAATTTTTAAAATATCTTCCTTATTTGTTGTAGTTTCTCCTTCTTTATTTACAAGTTTACAAATATTTTTTGATTCTTCAGTCATTTGTCGGCGCAGACCCTTTAAACTTTTATTTTTATTAATGGCTTGAGTTATGTATTCAGTGTTGTAATTTCTGACATCTTTTTAAATGGATTTTGTGATATCTTTGTTTAACTGTCTTAGCGTTACAAAATTATCTGTGTATTTGTCTTTCAATTCTCTTCTTTTGTTAATAAGATCTTCAGTAGCTTGAGTGATTTTATCCATCTTGTTTCTTCCCTTTTCCTTATATTTTCCATGAGCGTTTCGAATTGCACTATTTATTCGCATGTTTGTCACCTCTACATCTAATGCATTTTCATTTATATGTTCTACTGCACCATATTTTTTTACGGTTTATATTTTTCGTAAATACACAATTTTTTTTATTGTAATTTTTTCTTTCAGCATATAAACACTACTCTTACGACAGCTACTTTAACAGGATTGGAGGAAAAACAAATGTACCATATTTTTGTGGTCTCCAGGAACGAAGAAGGCACGTCATTGCCTTCCTCAATCATCGTGATTAAACTAGTCAAAGAAGGTAGGTAAATTTAATATTAAATTTTGGCAAACCGGCCATTTAATGTCAATGAATATAAACCTATCTCTTTGTTTATTTTATCTATTATTATTAATTCTTCGATTTCCTCTTTTCTTTTTTTTTAACAATCTTAACAAAAATATGAGTGCACAATTTAAAACTAACAAATTGTTTATTGACAATTTTATAATATTTATGTTTTAATTCCCCAATTTTGTCTAGGTGAGTTTTTCAAATATCAATAAACTATGTAAATAGCTTTTGTGTAACAAAAAATTGTGGGTAGGTATATCACAAAGCTAAATAAGGCTATTGTCAGATTTGACGATAGCTTTGTGTTGCACTCTTTGTGACGGCTTTGTCACAAAGAGTGCCACTTTTGTAGTTTGTTTTTTATCGCAAATGAAGTCAGTTTTTATAAATCAGTAAAATAAATAAGAGTTTCACGATTTTGGCATTTTTTACGATTCTCATAATATCAATAAAATTTCCCACTTCATGATCACATCATGTCGCTGTGGAATTTCCATTGTTAGAGCCAAATCTCTAAAACGCTTTATACACTTTAAGTACTTTTTTCAAAATTACACAACTTTCGCTAAAAATTTCACTAAATACCGTCTTTGCTGAAGCATTTCCCATTGTTTAAAGTATGTTAATAAGGTCTCAATTAAACTACTGTATTGGCTGAACATATATTAATAATATTCATACATTACAACATGATCATGTCGCCCATTGTCCCCGTTGGGAAGTGGTGTTGACTTGACATTGACATATTTGACATAGTTACCAGGTTTACGTTAAGCCTATCTTACATTAATGTCAAACACCTTCCCCTTAAAGATTAAGGCGTACCCTATGTTTAATTGTACGTCCGAATTTTGAAACATTACATTTCTTACTATCATTATTTTTTGAGCAGCTATAATGAGGACTTACAATATCAGTATTCGTATGTTCATTAAACAAATTTGTTAAATCATTATCCTGAATACATACATTATTTAAATCGTTATTATCATTATCCTTATAACTATTTGGGTTTGTGTGTGGATACAACTCAGGTTCAAGATACATGTCTGCTACATCTGATTTTGTATGTGATGGTCTTATGTGTCTTGTGTTTCTTCTAACTATCCTATTATTGCATTCCTTTCTTATCCAGTACGATCTGGGTTCTTTAGCTTTTTCTACAATAACAGCTTTATACCATACTTTATCAACACTACTCTTAACAACTACATTATCCCCCCTTTTATAAGTTGTTGGTGTACGTTTACTATGTTTATCATACTGAACTTTTGTTTTTTGTTGTTGGTCCGATAACAGTTTATAAATCTCATTCTGAATTTTAGGTTGTAATTGTTCACTATTTACTGGTATTTCTGTTCTCAAAGATCTACTATTTAATATTTGGGATGGAGATGCACTTAATGAAATAATAGCAGTATTATTATATTCTAAAACTAACTCACGATAATCAGAGTTTTCTGTAAAACTTTTTTTTTAAATTTGTTTACAAATTCCTACAGCCTTTTCAGCAAGGCCATTACTTTGGTGGTAATGAGGTGAACATGTCAGGACTGTAATTTGTTTATTATCGTAATATTTTTTACACTTAAATGATATAAATGGTAAATTATCTGCAATTAAAAATTGAGGATAGCCAAATCTGGAAAAAACATCTTGCATCTATTATGGCTTCAGATGTTTTATTATTTAATGATAGCATCTCTATCCAATGGGAAAAATAATCTATTAGAATTAAGTAAGATTTACCACCAAATTCCAAAATATCAGCCGCAATTTTATTAAACCTCAATTTTGGTATTGAATGTGCTAACATTGGCTCTTTATAATTATTTGGCATGAATTTTTCACAAATTCTACATTTTTTTATAAACTGGACAATATCATCCCTAAGGTTTGGCCAAAAAAATAAAGATCTTGCTTTATTAATAGTTTTACTAGTTCCTATATGACCTTTATGTAACAGAGTAATCATTTCCTGTTTTAGAGATTTTGGTACAATTATTTTATTTTCAACAAAAACAATTCCTGCTTCAACATATATATCATTTTTAATACTGGAATATGGCTTTATATACTCTGGAATCTTGTTTTCTTTAGGCCAGCCTTTATAATAAAAATCAACAATTTTAGCCAAAACTTTATCTTTAGAGGTTTCTTCTCTGAACTGATATATTTTTTTATCTGTCATTGGTAAGTATAGTGAGACTGAATGAACCATATTAAACATCTCTAAATCAAGGGTTTGTGCCTTTAAACTAGCTCTAGAAAGCATATCTGCAAATTGAATATGCTTTCCTGGAACATAATAAATATTTAATATGTACTTTAATAATTTTAGCCTTAAACGCTGCAACCTTACTGACCCAATTTTGCATATTGGTTTCTGCATAATTGAAATTATTGGTTTATGATCTGTTTGGACATCAACATCACACTGGTAAATAAAGTTATGAAATTTTTATGTACCATAAAAAATGGCTAATAACTCTTTCTCTGTCTGGCTGTAATTTATTTCATGTTCATTCATAGACCTAGATGAACATGCAACTAATTTCAACATACCATCATAGTTTTGAAACATACAACACCCAATTCCATTTTTGGATGCATCACATTGCAAAACTATCTTTTTATTTGGATCAAATGGTACCAGAGATGGAGAATTTGAAATTATTTTCTTTAACTTATCAAAACATTCCTGGTGTTTAGGCAACCATTGCCATTCTACATTGTTTTTTTAAAAGTTCACATAAAATTTGCATGTGCTCAGCCATATTTTTAACATAACGTCTAATATAGTTAAAGGAACCTATTATTCTTTGTAACTCTAATTTACTTTTTGGAGTTTCTAATTTACATAAAGTATCTGTCCTCTCAGGATCTACTTTCATTCCTAAATGAGAAAAAATTTGTCCCATAAACTTTACTTCTTTTTTGCTTAATTGAATTTTCTCTTTATTAAATCTAGCACCCACCTCTTTTGCTCTATGTATCACCTCTTTGACCGCTTGATCATGTTCATCTTGAGACGCCCCTGCTATGATCATATCATCATGACAAACTACAATGTTTTTAATATCACCAAAATGCTTTTCAACTGCCTCTTGAAAAAGGTCTTGAGAATTTGATAACCCAAAAGGTAAAACTAAAAACCTGTAAGTTCCATAGTGTGTCGAGAAACAACATTTCTATGAAGAATTTTCATCAATTGAAAGTTGGTGATAACTTTCAGATAAATCAAAAAGAGAATATACATTTTTGTTTAATAATTTTGAACATATTTCCTCAATGGACTCCCCAACTCTAGGTTTGCGTACTATATGTTTATTCAGATCTGAGGGATTTAAACATATTCTTAATTTACCATTACTCTTTTGGATTATCACCATTCTATTAATACTTGCCCTGGGGTCTATGTTTTCTACCTTAACAATTGCTTTTCTTTGGACTAATCTATCTAGCTCAGTTTTAAGTGAATTTCTAATTTTTATTGGGCACTTGGTAGGTGGATAGCAAACTGGTTCAAATTTATCATTTGTTGTAATTTCATATGTGCCAGGAAATTTGCCTGACCCTGTGAAAACTTCAAAATTTTCATTGATAAATTTATCTGTTAAATCAGACCGGCCTATCTTATTTATTTTTATAGAATCAATACGTTTTACCAAACTTAAATTTTAACATGTTTGTCCACATATCAGAACCTGACTTGCACCATCCACAATGACAAAATCTTCAAAAATATTCTTCCCTTACATTTTACATTTAAATTTACTACACCTATAGGATAAGACACATTTCCATCAAATGCCTTTAACACATATTCAGTAGGCCTGGTTTTAAATTGACAATTAAATTTTTTATAAACATTTAAAGGAATAACATTTACATCTGCCCCTCTGTCTAACTTAGCTTTCAATTTATAATGTTCAACCTCTATGTACTATTCCCAAGTGTCTATCAAATCAACATTACATACCTTTTTCCTGCCTGCATAATGGTTTCCAGTTGCCTGCAAACCATTATGCAGGCAACTGCATAATGGTTTTTTAGTCCACACTTGTTACACTTCTTGCCATAAGCTGGGCATTCCCTCGGACCATGCTTTTTTGCACACCTTCTGCATAAAAAAACTTCTTCTTCAACTTCTTTCTCTGCATTCCAAGGTTTCTTCTTTATATCATATTTCTTTTTCTCTATCTTCTGTGTATGATTAATATTTCCTGTGTTATTATTAATATTGAAACTGTAAATTTTGAGATCTACTTTGCTCACTTGTTCTGCAGAATTCTATAGCTTTATTTAAACTTAATTTGTCTATTCGCAGGAGGGCTTCTCGTGTGGTCGGATTCCTAAGTCCCATAACAATTTTGTCTCTTAATGCCTTGTCTTCACATGACTCATCGGGATCTAGGGCATTGTAATTGCAACTTCTAACCAAATGTCTGCACTCTGTCAAAAAATGTTCAAATGTCTCCCCATCTTCTTGTACTCGTTTTATAAAGTTGTACCTCTCAAAGCATTCGTTAACTCTTGGGTTCACATACTTATCTAACAGCTGCATTGTGAATTCATACTTATTTAGTTCTTTATCAGGGATAACAAAAGTAGCCATAATCCGTGCTGATTCATGGCCAATAATATTTCGCAGGATGGATAATTTCACCTGATTTACAGCGTCGTGTTGTCCTGTTGCTACTAAATAATCTTCGAATGAAATTTTCCAAAATTTCCATTCAGAAGCGGCACTCTGACTCTGGAGGTCGAAATCTTGGGGTAACTTAACATAACCTATTCCATTGACCATGCTTGCCATTTTGGGAACACTTAAATTTTTCTTTTTAATTAACTTAGCACTTAACTTTATTCTTGGACACGTAGATTCCATCAATTGACTGCGCCATGTTTAAAGTATGTTAATAAGGTCTCAATTAAACTACTGTATTGGCAGAACATATATTAAT